TAAACTCTCTGACCGGCCGTGCGTGTGGGCGCGTGAACGCGTTCAGCCACTCACTTTTCTGTCCGTCACGTCCTCGGCCACCGCCTGGATGACTCCGGATCCCTCCATGCCCAGCGTGACGGGCGGGGACGGCAGCAGCTCGTACAGCCCCTGCTTCCCCAGCAGCTCGGCGAAGTTCAGCCCGCACGCCTTGACCCGAACCAGAACCTCCCCGGCCTTCAGCGCCGCCTTCTGCATGCTCTTCACCTGCAGCTTGATCTTGTCGCAGCCTCCGTATCCCGTCAGCACCAGAGCCCGGAAGGTGATGGGCTTCTCCTCCTCGGCTGCCGCCGGGCTGCCGCTGCCTGACGCCGGCTCGGCTTCCTCCTCCTCGGCGGCGACCGGTGGAGGTCCGCTGGTCTCCTTCACCTGCTCCGGTTCTTGCTGCGGAGTTGGAGCCTCTTCCTCGCCAGACATCATCTTCTCCACTTTCAGGAAGCTTTCACGAGATTTTCACTTCGTTCGCTGGAGGCTCAACCAGCGGAAACGGGAAAATTAAAGATGAAATTAAAGACAAGATGTTTGCGATTCAAACGGCTTTCATGAATCAGAGGCTCCTTATAAAGACACCCGCGCTGTTTGCAAACCAGATTGACTCTCTGGTTCCCCGCGTGCGCTCCACTCAACAAGTGGTTAAAATGTGACGCCGTAGCCACGGAGTTTCCGGTGCAGCTTTTCACAATAAAACTCTTGACGGGCAGCTGGATTGTTTAGGCAAGAAGCACAACAAAAATCAAACGTTAAAGGTTGTTGTCAACAAAAACAAACGAACAAACAAACAAATAAATAATCAGGGTCTGATTTACTAGAAATAAATTATGTTGCTTTTTTAAATTAAAGTGCATTAATTGGTAGTTTTACACATAGTTTGAACTCATGATGGTAGGATTAATAAATCTTTTGGTCGGTAACTCCTTGATGTCCCCCAAAATAAATAACTTTAATTTATATTTTTCAAGTACTTGAGTTCTTTTTATATTTTTAAAAATTCCAAAATATTGCAACTCACATGATATTGACTCTTACATGAACAATAGTGTCTGCAAAATATGCATTCACTTAAAAAATTACATTTAAATTTATTTTTAAATATTCGTGGTTTAGATAGATGTGGGTTAATTTTAGACACGATTGTTAAGATCATGTCTTTTTAAAAATAAAATTGCATTGTAAAAAAAAACCGTTCATATTTATTTTGTATTATTTAATTAATTTAATTTAGATTTTCTCCAAATGCTTATTATTTTATTGTTTTTATCAGATTTTATTTGTTAAATATGTTTAACTTTTTTTCTATAATGTTGTCATATAGGGAAATATCAGTGAAGCTGATCAGTTGTTTAAAAACATATTTAAACCACTTCCCCTTTAAACAAAATTTAAAAACATAAATAGATAAATCAGTGCATGAAATATGAAAGCAGGGCACATTTTATCAGCGTGATTTACTTGTTTTATGTCAGATTTGAAATTTCAAGTTTCAAATATGGATAAATTATCACGGTAGAAAAAAGTAAAGAACTCTTTTATTGTGATAGGTGAACTTCCGGCAGTGTTCCGCCTGTCTCTGACTAACTTGACGAAGGTTTGAAAAACTGGCAGATCTGTTATGTTGGCATGAAAAACTTCAGTGATTTGAGGCGGAGAGATACAAAACCCGGACACTGGAATCCCGTCGAGGAAAGACTGGATTTCCTCCAGTTTACAGCTGAAAGGAATATAATGTCTTTCTTACGTTCATTGAGAAATAAAAACAGTTTGGATTATATGTGTTTTCTAGATCACCAATTAAAGCTTTTATTTGTGCATTTTTGTATTATTTTGTTGTCTCTTTGGAACAGCTGTGAAACAATGAACTCAGACTTCTTGCTCGCTGCACTATAAAACACACCCACAGCTTTTTGCACACACACTTGCATCCTGCACTCAGAGCTGCTGCTGTTACATTTCTTACTGCTGACTGAATGAGGTTGACAGGAAATGGTGACAAACACAGAGGTTTCTTTTTTTTCTTTTTTTTTTAGTGGGTTTGAGTCTGTGAAATTTCCACAACACCATTTCTTATTCCTTGATGAAGTTCAGATAGAGTTGTTAAAGAAGTATTATTGATCCAGGGTCTGACTTTTCTATTTAAATTAGCTTTGAAAACTTTACACACCCCTGCTAAATTGTCTTACTGTAAACTAACGAAAAACATTCTTTTGTTGATTTGGATGCTTGAAAACTCACGGTGATACTGAAAAATAGAAATACATCATCATTTGCTTTAGTTTGGATATGGAACAAATGGGCAGTTGCCCTGGGCGGTATTAGAAAAGGGTTTGTGGGGAGGCATGAACACCTATTAAAGCCATATCAAAAATCCGAATTTTTTTAAAGGGCCAGTGTGCCAGAATGTATTGATAAAACCAATTCAACTGTTAAAAAGTAAATCCAGTCCATCCATGATTTTGTGATTGTTTTTGTGTGTGTGTGTGTGTGTGTGGGGGGGAAGGTATTTTGGGGTGCTAATTTAGAAATATTTGTGAAATGTTTTAAAATATATTTCTGCTAATGTATGATGTTAAATGTGACTTTTTATTAATTTCCGTATTGATCACGGACTATAACTTGGCGTCAAGTAAGGCTGCAGCTGCAGTCAATCAAATGCAACGTTTTTCACCAATTTTGAGAAAAATTTGCAGGAAAAATCTGAAACAATTTGGGGATTTGTTGATTTTGTGTGAACTTTGAGTGAGTTTTGCAGATTTGTTGAACAACTGGAAGGACCCGTTCATGTAATTTAGAATCAAGAGGACCACACAAAAAGCTACGGCGGGCCACATTAGGCCCCCGGGCCTCGTGTTTGTCACGTATTTTAAAGAGTCAGTACTGTTTTTTCCAGGTACAATAAAAGTAATACATTATCTTCAGTTGTTGTAAAAAAAGAAGCTGCACATATCAAATATGATTTAGAGACATTTGACTTTGTAGTTTAAGGCCTTGAATTTGGCCCTCTGTCTCTTTGAGAAAATCTTGCTCTTTCAGGAAGTTATCACAACATGGCTCCTCTATTAGCCCTATAGCAACGTTTTTACCAATTAAGAAGTAGTGTCTGCTAATTGCTGCTGGCTAGTCTGAAGGAGCTCAGTGGGGAAAGGTGCAGAAGCTCAGAAGCTTGGAAACTGCAGCTACAAGGAGGAGCTGCGTCTCGAAGGCGGGGCTAGGACCACCCAGGTGTTCTGCACACCTGAATGGTTGCTATGGAGACGAAAGGATTTCTCAAATATGCACGAAGAAACAAGGCAACAGTCCAGGTTTGGTTTTGATAACATGATGTAAAACATTTTTTAAAAAGTAAAATTTAACCTGACACTGATCTGATAATTAGGTTTTTAATCATATTATTAACTTACATAGTCCAATTATCAACAAAACTCCAGCTATAAATGGAAAAAAATAACTTTCATAATACCAAGATTTAAAACTATAAACAAAACGGTGTCTTTATATGTCACTTAAAAACTGAAGTTGCTGCTATCCATTTTTACTGTTTTTTTTTTGTTTTGACCAGAAGATGGCGCTAAAAACCAATCAGAAGAGATTTTCTGAGCAAAAGAAATCTGACATTATCAGCTTTTCACAGAGCAACTAAATAACATCCTGCCATTACACAAAAATGTCAACAATCACAGTTTTGTGCAATTTAATCAACCAGATTCACCAGATTAAAAGTATCGCTTTAACGCCCCATTCTTATTTTCAATCATATGTGCGAGAAAAGTTGTTTTAAAAACTTCTTTATTTATTCCATTTATTTTCCCCATTTATTCACTTAAACTTGCGAACAGAATAGTTGTGGTAAACTGACGGAAAGCATGGAAACGCACCAAGTGAACTATAATTAGCCAGAGAAGAACAGGAAGTGCTGAAGCTCCGCCTTCAAATTAAATCACATTTTTGTTGTCTCATTTAGTTTTTTTTCTTTTTACAATTTTTTTTAGTTGCAAAGAAATTTAACAATTTGTTTAATATTAGACATATTTAAAAGGGAGAAAAAGAGAAAGAATAATCAAATACGATAACAATATTATGCTTTATATTTGCCTTGCAGACTTTTTTTTTTAAACCAAAATGTTTTTCTAGCTTCTCCTCTCAGCTAGCTGTGCTGCACTGCTCACACTAATTTGTGTTTTTATGAAAAAATCTCTCAAATGTGCAATAAACTAATATTCACTCTTTTCAAAGAAAAGCTTGAAATGAACAAACGAATATGTTGGAATTTTATTTTTTCTCCTTTAAGGATTTTTCTTTTGTAATAAATTTTGTTTCTGTAATTTTTGGTGGAAATTTGCAAAAATTTTGATGAATGAATTTAGAAAATTTTTCTGACTAATAAAAATAATGTCAGTAAAACTTTGTTTCTCATTTAACTTAATTTATATATATATATATATATATATATATATATATATATATATATATATATATATATATATATATATATATATATATATATATATATATATATATATATATAGTTAATTAGTTAAAAAGTAAAAGAAAATGTTATGGTAAGTGAACTCGATGCAATAATGTAAAAACTCCAGTAAGTTGTATCAATTTTAAGAAAATCACATTGTTTTCTGCTAATTGCTAAAGACGGTAAAGTCAACTTAATGGAAGTTGCAGCAATAAAGTATTCTGAACTTAATTGAAGTTGACAAAACTAAACTGAGTCAAAACAAGAAAACTAAGTTGAGTCATAAAATGTTTTGTACAGTGTAGCAAAAACGTCGAAACCTAATTATTTTTGTGTTAAACTTTGATTAAATAACTGAAAAACATTTAAGTTTCAGATGCATTTAATCTTTGCAAGTGATTTCAAACTACCGCAGAAACGTTTCGCGCTTTTATTGTGACAGACCTTAAACGGAAGCAGATGTTTGTTTGCGTCACCTTTACGTCCAGGTATGAGCCCAGAACCGCTCGCCTGTTGGAGCAGAGCAGCGCAGCGCAGCGCGGATTATGGTACCGCCGAGCCCGACAGACACCGAGTGGGACTGAACTGCTCAGTTTCTCAGGAGGAATCCTCCGGAACCAGCAGAACCTTCCGGTCCGCGACCCAAACACCGAGATCTAAATGCCAAGCAGAGCCGCCCAGTGATGGAGAGCAAGGCTTTACTTCGCTGTAAGATCGTGGTGGTCGGGGACGCGCGGTGCGGGAAGACGGCTCTCCTTCACGTTTTCGCCAAAGACTCGTATCCAGAGGTAAAAAAAACACATTTATTGTTTTAAGAAAACGAAACGCAGCCGTGAATATTTCACCAGCTGAAAGCCTCATGAAACGGCGCTTAATTCATTGACTGTTTTGGCATAAAACTGGAAAAATCAGCTTTTGCTTATTAGCTGTCAGTGTTAAAGTTGTGACTGAATAAAAACAGATTTTGATTCATATATGTTTATCTTGGAACGGGCATTTTTAAGATACAGTCTAGTTTCGTTCAAAAATCCACAAAAAAATAATATTTAAACAAACTTTTGTGATCATTTTGCTTTTTTTCAAAGTCAATAACTGAACCAGCCTCCAGGTGACAGTTTATGGCACCTTGCGCACATTTGCGCACGGAGAAGCGCAGGAGCGCACTTCACTTCTTCCACTCGACGCAACTTTAAAGGCTTTTGTGTTCATTAAGATTGTAATAAAATTGCTAAACAAACAATTCAAGTGATAATAAAGAGTCTTAAATGTAAGAATTTGTGGCTTGGAAGCAAATACCGTCCAAATTATTAAGCATAGTGAATAGATGTGAAATAAAATGCGCAATAAATTAATAAATAAGTCGAACTTATCTTTATTCAAACGTGGCTGTTTCAAAATTTGTCTAAAATTTCTTACTCGCCTTCACTGGCATGTGCCTCTTGTGACGTCATCAACCCAAGCACACTTGGCAGGGATTTCCCTCTTACTGTACCTTTAAAAAATTTAATTTAAAGAAAGAAAATTGATATTATCATTACCCAATTGTGTGTGTGTTTTTTTTTAAATCACGACTAAATGGAATTTCTAAATAAATTGGCATCAATTTAGAAGCTACAAACTGATTTATTTAGTATAAGTTTGTGTCTTTATTTACATAATCAGAGCTAATGGACATAAACTGTGCAATGCTTTATTTTCCATCTAATTACTCTTATCACTCAGCGCCGGTTTCTCTCTGCAGCATGGCATTTTGTGTTAAATATATAAATCTGACTGCTCTACGGAAGGAAAAACCTGCCCGAATGTCTCTGACCTCCTGCCGTCTCATTGCAGAACTACGTTCCCACCGTGTTTGAGAACTACACAGCCAGTTTTGAAATCGACAAGCAGAGGATTGAGCTGAACATGTGGGACACTTCAGGTAGGATTCGCCACAAAAGCCGCCGTCAAAAAGACTTTTCCCCAGCGGGCCGAGGCTTTCTGCCGAGCACTTTTTCATTTTTACACCGTCGTCACATTTTCATGTGTCGTTAATTATGAACTGTAACAAGCCGTCATCAGCATGTGACAGAGCCTGTTTCACAGTTTGGAGAGAATATAAGCAACACATTCAGTTTGATGGTTCGTTCGAAGTGTTGATGTCTTCATGTTGGGTTTTTACTCAACATGAATAAACTGATGTTTATATTTCATGCTTTCAATCACACTGAGCTGGAAAATGTTTACACCTACTGAACGTCCAGCATTTCATCAGGTTACATCCACAAACTCCAACGTGCTTTACTGGGATTTTATGTGATTCAGGACAAAGTGGAAGAAAAGTAATGGAAAAAATGTTTTCAAATTTTTTACATATAAAATTCTGAAAAGTGTGGCCTACACTTTCAATTACTGTTAGGTCTGAGCATCTTAAATTCTGTCTTTTTTTCAGTGTTTTATTTTTACCTGTTCAATAGTTCGACACAGTATTAGAGAGAAAAAGTTAAATAAAAATGAAATTACAAGAATAAAATCATAACATTAAGAGAATAAAGTTGTAATAGTTCAAGAATAAACTCATTACATAAAGTTGTAATATTAACTTTATTATTGTATTAATCTGATTTTATTATCCTACAGCTTCACTCATGTAATTTTCTGACTTTCTTCTCGTAATTGTATTATTTTATTTTCTTAACCTGGCCTTAATACTCTGCCATACAATAATAAACTAACTTTTAAATGAAATCTATAAATCATTAAAGATCTAAAAGATAAAAACAACTTCGGATTGTTTCCTTATTAATAGGAAAACAGAAAATTTAATTTTTTTAGGATTTGGGGGGATTATTTATTGTTTTCTATTTGATTGGCCAAATCTTTACCATTCTTGACTTTTGCTCAGTGGCCGAATAAAATCATTTCAAGGGCCACAAACGGCCCTCGTGCCACGCTTTGGACACCTCTAAGTCATTGATGTGTCTTTCCAGAGGAACTTTGACTTTTTTAAAATTAATTTATTATCTTCATTTTTTTAAAATTATCATTTTAATTTTTTTATTTATTTTAAAAGTTAACTTTTTACATCTTCATTTATTTATTTTTTCATGCTAATGTTTAATAATCTCTAATGCTGTCGCAGTTCAGATGCTGACTAAATTAAAAACAGATGCACTCAAGTGAGAGTATCATTTACTTTTTCAGGTATTTAGTAGTATTTATCAAAGTACATACAGTAAAACAAACTTTTAAGAGTTTTACATACAAATGTATTTGATAACAAATTTTCTTTTTCCTTCCACTTTACAACTAGAAGAAATTTTGGCCTTGTTTCTAATATATTTGTCTAGACTCTAGAGTCATAAAACTGTTCAAGCTTAAAATATAATTACTGTATAAACTAAAGAACCAGAGTTGTATTTTAGATCTATTAAAATTCAACTTTTACAATCAGACTTCAGCAAAACTCCTGCCTCAATTTGTCAAAATGCTGTTAAAACATTGTTTTTATGATATAAAACTTATTTCATTCATCTATTTTGAGTTTATGTTCACTTAACTGAGTTCAAAATCAAAATCACTAGTAATTAATTTGATGAAAGAGAAAGAAACTCATGCAAGAGAAAGATTAAAAACAGACATTGAGTCACATAATATCTAAATAAAATGGTTTGATGTTCATAACGTCAAGGTTTATGGACGTTTTAAATGTTTTTCAGTGGAAAACATTTGGATATTTGTCCTCGATAGATATAAACGAGTCTTTTTAAATTCTTTCACTTAGCTTCACTTTTATATGACAAACTTCACATGCAGCGCAGAGAGGAGCTTTAACCTCCGCCCATCAGACCAGATAAACAAGCTGCAGATTAAGAGCTGCAGCTGCTGCTGGCCTGTGGGTGAGGCCACCAGCTTTCAGAAAAAACTCCTTCTGAAACTGCTGCCTCATTCAAACACACTTCTTTCCTCACCGAGTTGTTTTGTGGATAACAATTACTCCGGTGGGACGCTTAAACAGTAATTTTCTCCTCCTTAGTTGAGAATGAAGCTCCTTTTTCAGCGTGTGGTGACTGTACCATACTGCTGGAAATGTGGTGAAACCTGATGAACAGCCTCTTGAGTCGGGTTTAATATCACAAGGAATGCTCTTTTTATGTATTTTAAATGCTCCTCTGCTCCATCTGAATATGTGTGTGCGTCTAAATCTGGATGGCAAAAAACAAAAACAAACCTCCTCATGTCTGAAACCGTTTCTTGACTGTCAAGAAACGGTTGACAGCTCAGACACTTAAAGGGGATTTATTACACAAAATTCACATTTTTGCAGGCTTTAGTTCTTCCATTTGGGTCTCATCTGCTTCCAAAAACCAACACCCAGCTGCTTAAAGAGTTTTCAGGTGTTTGGAATGCGGGTCGTCTCTTTGCTTTTGTTTTAAATCCGTTTTATTTCATCACACTGCGTTCAATAAAGTCAAACTCAAACTCAGAACGCTTCCTGAATGCAACGTCACCAAGCCCAGCCCGAGCTGAGTTCCAGCACGTTTAGTCAGCTGGATTTACGTAATGTGAAATGGCTGCTTGTTCTGATTTAAAGTGTTAAACGGACTCACATTCATGCAGGCTGAGAGTTTTCAAACAAATGATTTTCTTTGAGACCAATAAAATAAAAAAAAACATTCAAATATAGAGTTAAGAAACATCTGAGAACCTTTTTCCAACCTACCATATATTGGTATTATTGAAATACAACATGTTTAATGTATTGCTGGGCGGCTAAAATGAAAGGAACTAACAATTAACAATTTTTAATTGAGTCCTGATTACTTTCAAATCGTCAGTTTTGGCCACTGACCACCATGAATCTCTAAAGCCACATTAAATTCTGGCTTCTTGTGACCACAGGAAGCAGTTTAAGCCTTTCTGGAGTCTGTATTTCTGCCAATACCAACGACTCACCTGGCCAATGGTAACCAGACCTGTGGGAAATACGAGGGAGCTAATTATATATTTAACAAGGTTACTATCAGAGAGTCTGCGGTCGCTGCTTTGGCTCCAGTCGCTGGGTTTGTGTTTACACAGTGGGCTGCGCCATCCCTTCAGAAACAGCTATCTGTTTGCTGCTGCGGTTGCTGTTTCAAGAACATCATTCATTATTTAATTTCTCCTTCCTGTTGGCAGTGCAGCTGGTTTGACGAATCTGGGTTTGATTTCACTTAGTTCACACCTGAAGATGACGAGATTCCCCAAAATGAACCTGATTTGTGTAAATATCCCTTGTAAATTCTTACATTTTTGTTTTAAAGGCTGAAGAAATGCAGTATGACCAACAGATCTTTGACACTTGGTTGTTCTGCTCCTGTTTTGTCCCTTTTCAGGCAGTTTACTGCTGAGTTTCAGGCTGTTGGAGCCAGTTTTGCTGATGTGTGTGCAGGAATGTGCAGGCATGCGTCAAAAGCTTTCAGGATGGTGGTGTGAGTTCGGCGTTCGTTGTCTCATCTCTCTGTGGACAAAAGTCAGAAACTAATCCAGCAATTCAAACAAGATCTGTTGTTTGAAGAGAAAATTTTAAACACATTTATCTGTAAATTAAAATACAACTGTAAAGTTAATTTACTTCAGATATTCATAAGTATTTATTTTTGCAAATTTCTCATTAGATTATTCTATTTTCGTTAAGTTAGTTTAAGAGTGCACTTGCTAATTTTTATTAGTTATCCTCTGTGTTTATCTCCGTTCATTGTGCACTATTTTCTGCCACAGATTTTCCTTCCACTCAACTTTCTGCAACTTCCACATATCCTACCTGTATTAGAAATCTGAGAATCTCAATTATTTTGTGTTTTCTATTTGTAATTTTTCTTAATATTATTGAAACAGCAACAAAAAAGTTCAGCAAAAGTGTAGAGAACAGCATACAAATGTTTGAATTACCTCGTATAACTTTTATAATAATTGTGTTGTAGTTTCCATCTTCCGTATTTTCCATTTGTATCGACTAAATATGTTGTTAAGTCATATAAACCTTATCAGTATAATATATATTTTTTGTTTTAGCAAGAGAAATTACTCATTGTCCAGAGAAAAAATAGCACTTAGTTTAATAAATTAAATTCAACTAAAGTCCATTAAAGTCAGGAATCGTTAGCATCAATTATGTTCTGGATGCCTTGAGTTGTTTGGATCGAGACTGAAATTCCTCCTCTGGTTTCAATCTCTGCTGAATATTTTTTTATTTTTAATTCTCAAAAAAAGAGAATTAAATTGGTGTCAATCAACTCGACTATGTTTGTGCAGCAACATTATTTTTGTTTGGTTTTGAAGATATTAATGAAAGTTTAAAGGTCAAGAGGTCAACCAGGCTCCTCCACTTTTACAAAATCAAATTAAAATTTCATTCATATCTTAAAAGTCGAAGCAGCACAAACGTAATCGAGTTGATTGACACCAATTTTATCTGATTTGAAGATGGTTGGCGGAGCTGGTTGACCCTTCATGACCTCTGGAAACATTTCTTAATATCTTTAAAATTATAGTGGCACAAACAGAAATTTTGATGCACAAAAATTTGACATCAATTTTCACTCAGGTTTTATCTAAACTTCAAGTTTGATTGCTTTTCTCGCATTTTCCAAATAACTATTTAATTTAATTTGCAGTAGTCGATTGTATGAACCAAATCATAAGTTGTTTCCGGTTAAAAACAACGTCTTTTCCAAATAATCTGTGAAAATCTGCTTCCAGAAATTAATTATTTCTTCCAGCTTGTTTGGTAACTTTACTGAACCGGAGTCAATTTTTATTCTTATTCAAACAAACTGTTGAATAAGTAAATAAAACAATATTCCAAATTATTGAGATGAGTTGGTAAAATCAATTCAAGTACTGGCTGTTATGACAAAGTAGCAAAGGATTCGTTACATTCTGAGATGTTAGCGTGAGGCT